CGGGTATAGAGTGAGAAGAATGTGGGGGGGGGGCAATCTGAGTGCAGGCATCTGGGTGGAAAGGGATCTTGATGCACAGGGGTTTATTGCTGGCTTCTGGGTGTATGGATAAGGGGATTCTGCAGAGTGGTCCAGGTGAAGGTGATTGGGGCTTGTGATGAGGTAGGGGGTATGTCTGTGCAGGAGAGGCTCTGGAACTAACGGTGGTAGACGTGCCATTGCACCCCATAGTTTGAAGAAATAATAGCAAGCACCAAATACATCTCAGTATTGAAAGTAACAAGTGTTTTTCAGGTACTGTCATATCACACCCACATGGGGCTCAGGGTAGGCGGTTAGGGGGTGCAGAAGTCAAGTTTGGGGGTGTGAGGAGCTCAGGGCAGAGGGTTGGGATGTGTGGGGTCTCAGGGCAGGGGATTATGGGCTCAGGGTAGGGCAGGAGAGCCTCTGTGGGCTGGATCTGGTCCCCCAAACTGGTTGATCTGGCCCATGGATGCCCTATTGCTCCTCTGCCCCCAAGTCAATCAGGGCCTGGGAATGGGGAGTGTGCAAAGTCTCCTCTGCCAGGGGCTTAGAGTGAACCACCTGTTCAGCTAGCAGTTCACTGTAAGCAACATGTACCCCTTGCAGGGGCAGAGGCAGGGAGTGAGAGACTTTGTGTGTTCCTCTGCCCCCAGCCCGATTGGCCTGATTCTCCTGCACTGCAAGGGGCGTGCGATGTTTAGAGAGAACCATGGTTCACTCTGAGTCCTGCATGCCCCTTGCAGGATGGGGGAAGGTAGTGAGATATTTTGCGTGTTCCCCGAGGCCATCACTGGCCTGGGAACAGGGGGAGTGCACAAATTCTCTGTCATCAGGGCACTGGTGCCTAGAGGAAACTGCCAGCTGTTTAAAACAGCTAGCAGTTGGGGGAGAGGAGGAAAGACTTCACGCACTCCTCCACCCCCAGGCACATCAGGGTATGTGGGCAGGGGAGTTCGGAAGTGTCCTGGCCCTGCCCTTTCCAGGGTGGCCCAGCCCCCCTTCTAAAATTATTTCCCCCTCCCCCGGGGTAGGGTGTTGCAGGATGTGGGGGATGCAGGAGTCAGGGCTGGGGTTGGAGGAATTCAGGAGTCATGGTGGAATGGCTGAGAAATGGGGGCTCAGAACAGGGCAGATGTGGGGGATGGTGCAGGAGTCAGGGCAGAGAGCTGTGGCGTGTGTCGGGGAAGGAAAGCGTGCGCTCTGCTTCCCCAGACATTGCTGCTCTTCTTTCCCTTCAGCTATCAAGGAGCAAGGGGAGAGTACACAGCTTGCATGAATTGCCCTTCCCCTAGGCAGCTGGGAAAGGAATGCATGCATGCACTTTTCCCTTGCTCCCTGATAGTCAGGGGAAGGGGAAGGGAAAGAAAAGTAGCAGAGTCCAGGGTACTTGTGACTAAAGCCCCCAACCTCCCTACAGGCAGGGGCAGATGACCGTTTTGCGGGGCCCCAGGCAACATAATTCCGTGGGGCCTACCCTTTGCCACGGCGCATGCGCGGGGCTTTCTGAAGCGTGGGGCCCGGGGTGGCCGCCCCGTGCCCC